ATTATTATTATTATTACCCTGGTTTATAGTTAACCAGTTGTGTGAACCCAGTCTGTAGTAGTAACACAAATTTCCCAAAATTGCTTTTTCAGGAGGCAACTGGACTTTCTTGTTTTTTCTTTGAAGACGTTTCGCTTCTCATCCAAGAAGCTTCATCAGTTCTGGCTGGAGAGTGGGGAATGGAAGGATTTATACTCCTCGCAGACAGCTGGTCATTTGCCTTCTTTTAGAGAGTCGTTGAATGCAAACGACCAGCTGTCTGCAAGGAGTATAAATCCTTCCATTCCCCACTCTCCAGCCAGAACTTGAAGAAGCTTCTTGGAGGAGAAGCGAAACATCTTCAAAGGAAAAACAAGGAAGTCCAGTTGTCTCCTGAAAAAAAAAAGCACATTTGGGACAACCAGGACCCGGAGGACTGAGAATCTCCGGAGACATTTAACACAAATTTCATTATCTGCCTTTCTTCTCTCTTTATATTTTGGCTGTTTTCCACACCAGGAGGAGAAAAATGAATATTTCCCGGTGTCTCTCGATCGCCACGGCGTTGCTAACCCTGGTGGCTCTCAAGGCCTACATCGAATGGACGTCTGAGCAGGAGGAACGATACCCCACGTCCTCCGCCGCCCGTTGGCACAGCAGCTCCATCACCCCTATGCTGCCCTTCGAGAACGTCTCGCCGGCATTTGTCTTCCAGCGCTTTAACGTCTCCTTGGAACAATTCCGCCACAGCATCCCGCGAGGGAAGGCGTACTGGAACGATAAACAATACAAAAATTTCCGGGCGTTGGAAGAAGGCTCAGTGGCCAACGCTTCCTGGAATAAATGCCCCAACGGTGACATGAAGGAACTGGCCACCAAGATCAAGCATTTCAACTCGTATCCGGAGCTGTATAAGAATTTTGTTCTCTACGGGGACTGCAGGAATTATTCCTTCCTGATTAACGAACCCCGTAAGTGTGCCCATACAAAGAACGGCACCTTCCTGCTCTTGGCCATCAAATCCGTGCCCGGCAATTTCGCTGCCCGCCAAGCCGTGCGGGACACATGGGGGCAGGAAGGAGAACCCGGCGGGCTGGCCGTCCGCACTGTCTTCTTACTGGGCACGGCTCAGGGGCAGTTCGGTCCCCGCCTGCAACACCTGGTCCAGTTTGAGAGTCGGAGTTTCGGGGACATCCTGATGTGGGACTTTGAAGACACCTTCTTCAACCTGACCCTGAAGGACTCCCTCTTCCTGCGTTGGACGCTGGAGTATTGTCGGGACGTCCGTTTCATTCTCAAGGGGGACGATGACGTGTTCATCAACACCCCAAAAGTCTTGGAGTATCTGAGCTCGGTGGACGCCAACAAGCCCCTCTACACGGGGCAGGTGATGTCCAACGCCTCACCCTTCCGGGACCACCGAAATAAGTACTATGTGCCAGAATCATTTTACGTGGGACCGTATCCAGCTTACGCGGGAGGCGGGGGCTACATCATCTCCGGACCCCTGGCCCGGTTGCTCCTCCTCATCTCTCAGCACGTGGCCTTCTACCCCATCGACGACGTTTACACGGGGTTCTGCTTCCAAGCTCTGGGCATCCCCCCTCAGCCCCACGCTGGCTTCATGACCTTTGATATCGCCGAGAAAGACCGGAGAGACCCCTGCGTGCACAGCCAACTGCTCTTGGTCCATCGGCGCAGCCCCCAGCAGACCCTCCATCTCTGGAAGCAAATCAACAATCCAGATCTCCAATGCGGAGATGAGGCGTTGAACCCCCAACCCGCGAAGCCTCCTGGCTTCTGACCGAACTAGGAAACGGATCGCGTGGAACTCTTGTGTCCTCTGGGCTGCAACGGGGAGGTGCTCAGGTCCAAATCCCATCGAAGTATTTCAGAGGGGACACCCCAACTTAGTGCACTTTTGAAGGCAAGAAGCTGGGGACGGGCACCCCCTTTCTGAACGGCCTCTTCTTAAATTCCTTTCTGCAGATAGTCCGGCGGAAGGCCGAACACTGGACGTGTCCATACCAACAATCCAGGACATGCCATTTACAGATTTAAGAACCATTTTTCCACCAGGCCGATCGGAAAACTGTCCCAGCATCCACCTGGCCTTACCCGAGGATGCCAGGGCTTCATCTGGTACCCTCCAAATAGGCCTGCAACAGCTGGATTTCTAAGAGGCACCTTCCTCCACATCCGGCACCACCAAGGTGGGGGAGCCCGGAAGAGAAACTCCTGGCTAGCTGACCCAATCTTCCTGGATTGCAGAGAGGGTGAAGTATTGTCCGCAAGTGTTTTTTTTTTTTTCCCGTTGTGGCCTGAACCTTTGGGGGAAATCCCCTCCCCACAGCTGGATTAACCAAGAAACCGAGGCAAGAAGCTGATCCTCAATAACGATGGAATGTGGAAGAAAAGTGGAAATAGGATCCTCTGGAATTATCATCAGCGGTGATGAATAGAGAGCCGTGCTGGCCCAGTGGTTAGAAGGCAGCATTGCAGGCTAATTCTGCCCACTGCC